CATTCAACCAGCTTCGCCCTGTAGATTTCTGAGACAGTATCTCACAGTACAGGCCTGATTGATCTACTCTTGCTCTCATTATGTAGCCAAGAAGACTTTGAATTCATGACAATTCTCCTGTCTCTGCCTCCCTAGTGCTAAGACTACAGGCATGTGCTACTATGCCTAGCTCAAGTTTCTAACAAAATACGACCTTTTTTCTTCAAAATCAAAGAGTAAATTGTAGTTCCAAGTGTCTTGAGTTATACTGAGAAATGCAAGGGCCATAGAAAACAAAGTTGACAGACAATACTGAAATTCAATATGTAGAGAACCTAGACACATTTACTAATTGGAGAGAGGGGTCGCATGTCTTCCACAGCTCAAGTGTGGAAGAATGAGAAGAATTTACAGCCATCGGTTCTCCCCTTCTCCCATGTGGGTTCAGAGATTCAACAAGCTTAGTGACGTGCACTATTATCTACTGAGCCCCTGTCTCTCACAGTGGGTATCATTTCTCTTCTCTCTTTCTCTTAATGTTGCTAAGGAGCAACATCGCGGGACTTAGGCATGTTAAACAAATACCTTATTATTGGTGTATACCTACAGTCTCCAAAACAAAATTTGTTCTCTACTAGTAAGGGTTTTTTAAACATACAGGAAAATGACTTTCCATAAAAATATAAATGTAAGGGGGGAGGGAATGGGAGGAGAGGAGGGAGGGGAAACTTTGGTCAGGATGTAAAATAAATGTATAAATTTAATTAATAAAATATATTTATAAATATAAATCCAGTTTTGAAATAGTAAGGCTAATGTAAATGGGATTTGTTATTTAACTATATCATATTTCCAGTTTAGGGTAAAATTCAAATTCTAAAGTAGGATAAAATGGATCACCCCTGAAAGATCTTAGTATTTGAAAGTCTATAGCAAGAGGATGGTCACCAGTTAAAGGACATTGTGGGCTATGTAGTCAGACTAGATTACAGAGTAAAAGACAATCTTAAAAAATAATAAAAAAAAAGAAAGCATGGTGAACTACACCTATAATCCCAATAGTAAGTAAAGCAGGCAAGAGGGTTTCAGTAAGATGGAAACATACCTGTCCTACATGTTACATGCCAACCAGGGCTATACAGCAAGATCTTATCTTAAAAGGGGGGCGGTGGAAAACTAATAGAAGGTGCAGAGATGGCTCAGCTGTTTAGATAGCTAGCTGCTCACCTAGAAGACCCAGACTTGATTCCCATCACCCATATGTGTGATGATATTTTGTTTGTGATTGAACAAATACAGCTTGCTTGAAGATCAGAGTGTGGAGCTAGCCACTAGTTAGCCTTAGAGGCCAGGCAGTGGTGGCACACCCTATAATCCCAGCACTAGGGAGATGGAGACAAGAAGGGATATGGCTGGGCGGAGAGAGGATTATAAAGCGGGAGGAGACAGGAGTTTAACACATGCAGTCTGAGGTTTGGTAGAGAGAGCATTCAGTCTGAGGATTCTTGGAGACAGGATCGCCCTTTCGGTCTGAGGTAGAGGTAAGAACTAGTGGCTGGCTGCTCTGCTTCTCTGATCTTTCAACATTTACCCTTATATCTGACTCTGAATTTTTTATTATAAAGACCAATTAGAATTTATGCTATGTCTGGTGCTCAATGTGGGGTTTAAACCCATGACCCTGGGATTAAAAGTCCCATAGTCCCATGCTCTCAGCATTAACCCTTATATCTGACTCCAGGTTTTTATTATTAAGACCAATTAGAATTTGTGCTACACACATGGTAGCTTACAACTATCTGTGACCCCAGTCACAAGAAATTTGATGCCCTTTTCTGGCCTCTGTGAGTACTGTGTGCATGTAGTGTACAAATATACATGTAGGCAAAATGCTTGCACACATGAAAAATAAACCAATTTTTTTAATTAAAAAGAAGAAGAAAACAAAGCAACGAGAGAAAAACTGGTCATGGTAGCTCATGTCCTAACTTTTGGGAGATGTGGGAAAATCAGGATCAATATTACCCTTGGCTTATGTTCAAGACCAGACTCTGGTATATAAGACCCTCAATCAAACAGACAAAACAATAGCAAAAAATCCTAACAAGAAATGGGAATTCTCTTTAGTATAAATCACAGAGCTAAATGAATTTTGGGTTAGTCTATGATTTGGGTGGGGGAGGGGGGTGTCGAGACAGGGTTTCTCTGTAACAACCCTAGCTGTCCTGGAGACAAACTGGCCTCAAACTAAGAGATCCTCCTGCCTCTACCTCCCAAGTGCTGGGATTAAAGGCATGCGCCACCACCGCTCAGTTTGTGTTAATCTACATCCAACATGGCTAGCGGCTTAAAAGAGAAACATACAATAGAGGTAGGCTGGCATAGTACATGAAGCAAAAGATAATGTTAAATATTAGATGCCCTGATTAAACTACTCATTTTCCTTTCAAGGGCAGGCCTATTTTTCTTTCTGTGAGAAGGGATATTAATTAGAATATCCTAAAATATTTCATAAAGCCATGATTGTAGGGGCTCTATATGTAAAGCACTTATTTTCCATGTGTGAAAACCTGAGTTTAGACCCCTAGCCAGGTGTGCCTGTGGAACCTGCAATCCTGGCAGGGCGGGGTGTGTGTGTGTGACGGGACACAAACATGACACACAAGGCTAGGCAGATCCCTGGAGCTCACTGGCCAGCTAGTTTTGGTAACCAACAAACTCTGGGTTCATTGAGAGACTGGTTTCAAAAATAAGGTGAAGAATAGAGGAAGCCACTCAAAGTTGACCCCAGGCCTCTGCACACAAACATGTACCTACACAAAAAATTAATAAAAATAGCCTTGTGTGCTGGTACAGCCTTTAATCCCAGGAGAAAGAGGCAGGCAAATTTCTGTGAGTTCAAGGCCAGCTTAGTCTACATAATGAATTTGAAGCTAGCCAGGGCTGCATGGTGAGACCATGTCTCAAAATAACTAAATAAAAATGGATATTTTGGAAATTGGAGGCCAAATAAACTTCTGTGTTTTATTTTATTTATTTATCCCAGCCAGTGGTACAAATCTAGAGAGCAAAACTAGATTTAAACAGATAAGAGCTGATGGTAAAATTCTACATTAAACAAGAATTTTGAAAACTCGTTGGGTTTGGGTGTGGTCAGCCAAGACTGTAATTCCAAAACTAGGGAGGCCTAGACCGGAGGGTCTGGAAGTTGAGTCATCTTGTACTGCAGATATATAGACAGTCCCGCCAATGAAAAACTAAAGCCAACAATGAAAGGTGTGATGGTTATTGGTTTCTCTCTCTCTCTCTCTCTCTCTCTCTCTCTCTCTCTCTCTCTCCCTCGCTCTCTCTGTCTCTCTGTCTCTCTCTCTCTCTCTCTGTAATCCAGGCTGATTTTGAATTTGTGAAGAGCCTCCCAGATCTGCCAGGCATTCACATACAGTTTTTTGCTTGTTCTTTTGAGATAGACTTGAACTCAAAAATAGCAGAGGGCAACCTTAAACTCCGGATCCTCCTGCCTCCACCTCTCCAGTGCTGGGATTATAGGATTGCTGGAAACTTGCTTATTTTTTAAAGACAATCTTGGCTTCTCTGGAATTCACTATACAGACCAGGCAATTTAGAACTCCAGGTAATCCTTCTGTCTCAGTTTCCCACGTCTGGGATTTACAGTCCTTATTCCAGGTTCAAAAATTCCACATATTCACTTAAAGAAACAACAAAAATTTGTAGCAAAATGTAAAAATAACCAATGGAAAACTACCAACCATGCCGCCGCCAATCACAGCACAAAATAACGCCACAGGTCATCCAAACTACGCATTTGTTTAAGTCAACAACAGCTCTTTCCTCCTTCAAAGCTCTATCTTCCGCGTCAGAGAAGACAGAGGAATGATTTATGACTTCTCCCTTCCTGATCCCTCACCCGGATCCACCTGTTTAGAAGTGTCAAGGAGACTAGAAATGGTTAACGGTGACCAGCTGCAGAAAGAAACAAACATCCTTGACAACCCGCAGCTGAGCAAGCAAGGGCTGTTTATTTACCAACGCGTTTCTTTTGGGGGGCTGCCGGGCAAGTCCTAGAAGACAGCACCTCCAAGAAGGTGGTTCTTGTACGGGCAGACAGCGTCCACACGTCCACACACACACACACACACACACAGAGGCACCGATGAGAACACACACACACACACACGCGCACCATGGTCCTCTCTCTTCCCACCCCACGTGTACACACACATACACAGGCACCGGTGAGAACGGTCGGGGTACCCACCCGCCCCTCCGGAGCAGCCCCGCACTAAGTCACCCGGTCCCTCCCCGAAGATGGGCTCTGACGCGGCCGAGGCTGACCCGAGCGCCCGACCTCCTGCCGCCGAGGTCGGGCGTGCAGGACCCGGCCCAGAAACTGGCCCTCCAAGCCACCTCCCCTCACCTGGCTCCGTCCCACCTGAGCGCGAGAGCTGAGGGGGCAAGACGCGGAGAAGGGGTGCTGACCTTGTTGCTACTGACAGCGGGGCGCCACATGCTGCCGCTTCCCGGACAGCGGCCCGAAGGACATTTTTTTCCCCCTGGAGGAAGGAAACGGGAGGGCGCCGGCCCGGCGGCGGCGGGCGCGGCG